TGAAAGATATTATCGGAAATCAGAAAAAAATCTAAACGAGATTGTGTGAAGGGATTTTTTTTCTCCAAGTAAACCTTTTCATATTGGGGGTATAATTCTCTAAATGGAGCAACTAGATTAAAGTCTTCCATTATCTGTAATAATATACTTTGGATTGTTGACATTAACACAATTATGAGTGTCAAGATTGAAACTTTGAATTAAGTTAAAATCACCACAAAGAATACAAGACTGGTTATCAAATTCCTCAATAATGTCTGCCACCTTTTGATAAAAGCAAGGAGTGTCTACATTTGGCCCATGAATATTAACTAAGGCAATTCTTTGTTCTTCAATTGTAATATCCAATCCAAGAAGATTCCATCCTCATCGTTTTTAACTTTGTGAATTTGAAGATCAAATTTTTTATGAAAAAAGATGGCCACACCTCTCTGTTTGGATGTAAATGAATTGAAAATGCATTCTCCCTTCCATTGATTTTTAACGTTTAATTCGTCTTGTTCTGTAAAATGTGTGTCCTGAAGACAGTAGATATTAAAATTTTTTGACTTCAAATAATTCAAAACATCTCTCCGTTTCTCCTTTGTATAAAGACCTTGACAATTATAGGAAACTATTTTAAGTATATCACACTTCATACATGTGTTTAGCTGTATCATTATTTATTACTCTACTGATGAGTGAAAATACACGAATACACCATGGTATTTATGAAATCAAGGGACTTTTAGAATTCTCTTCCTTTAAAACTGTATAATGTTTCAAGTTCTGTGACACCTTAAGACACGTTTGTAATGTATAATAAATGCATATATATGAAAACATAAACATTAAAATCAAATATTAAATCTGCACTCTGAGACATTCACTGTTGTTGTGTATGATATTCACTATAACTGGTGACTCAGAAGAAATTTTAATCAAATACATTGGATTAAGATAGAAATTTAACTTGAGTAAATCCAACAGTGAATATCTGTATAATTCATGCTATGTACATATTTTGGAAGATAATTTCATTCATATAATTATCTTTTTACATTTAATTTCGTTACTGTCATTCATTCCAACACACAAAGACATTTTTCTATTCTATGTGGTTATGGCAAAGAAGAAAAGATCACACAAGAATCACAACTATACAAAATGTCCATTGTTTTGTGCATTCAAATCTGATTTGGCAATATATTTATCCAATGATGTTGTCTGTCTAACACGTTCATTCTTATTCGAAAACAGTTTTAGTTAAATGAACTATATATAATCTAGATGAGCATATTATATACAATATTTCAAGTCTGTCAGAGTTGTTCAATTTACTAGATAGTAGTATTTCTATGTTCGTCTTTCGTATACATGTATTAAAAACTTCCATGTTAAATTTACAAATTTATATGATCCTTTTTCAATTTTTAAAGAAGGCAGAGATGTTTTATATTCATATCTTGACTTACAACTATACATTGACAATGAGGGTCGGTTGAGAACAAAACTTTCCGTCAAAAGAGAGTCGAGCTTCCCAATTGTGAACGTTCCATTTTCATGTAGCAACGTTAAAATTCCATCGGCGCCTGCATATGGAATATATATCTCTATGTTGATACTATATTCCAGAGCTTGAAATGCGTATAATGTTTTCGTTGATAAATGGTTGCTCCTGACCAGGTAGCTATTAACACAAGACTTCCAAGCGGTAAGTTGAAAAAAATCCTTCGAATATTTTACTGACACCATCACGATTTGGTTGACCGTTATCGAAAATCTGTTTCAAATGTGACGACGGATACGTCCCAAATGTTGTAACCACAAAGAATGCGACATAAGATTTAGACTCATCATAGGGTTCGTACTTGCATGAACAACATAAAGGGTACAACATGTGGAGCAGAATCAGCTTATCCTTCAGGAGCCGTTAGATCCCCCGGTGTTTAGTGGGGTTTGTGTTACTCAGTCTTTTGTTTTCTAGTGTTGTTTTTGTAAACTGTTGTTTATCTTCAGATTTGTTTTCGGGGTGTTTGTTTTGCCATCCTGAAAACAACTGAAACTATTGAACAACTAACAAAATAGGCATTTCCTACTTTAATACTTTGTAATGTGTTCTCTACTCCTCATTACTCGTATAATTCTGCTTGGAATGATGTTTTACAACGATTTTAAGTAAATTACAGTCAAATTGTCCCATGTGTCACGGATTTCACGTTATAGCAATAGGTCTTTGGTATTGTTTATGCTTTGAGTACGTTTTTGCAGTTCCCATTTTAATCGTCAACAACAGTTCTCAATAAAATTGATGTCAAAACTCTGAGCTGCAAATTGCTGCTTTTTTAAACACGTTTTTCTACGATAATCCTTAAAAATTCGAGGTCGATGGACGGGGCATTGTCGTCTTGAAAAAACGTAGTCAACATTGGGAAAATGACAAACAACCAACGTTATTGTCAATATTTTCAATGTATTTTAAGGCACGTATGTTCCCTTCAACAACAGTTATAGTTCCGACTCCATGGCAAAGTGCTCTATGGTAAGTAATGCATCCCCATATGATCTTGTGCTGAGACGAAGGACAAATACAATCGGTCAACCACTCTTCTCCGACCTTTCTTCAGAATAAAACTGACAAGAGAATCTTGCCCAATGACTACCTTGCACTAACAGTTTTATGTACATTTCCTCTGCACTATGCCACTCGTTTTTTCTTGTTGACCTCACGTCTTCGATTTTTTTTCTTTACTCATCGTTTGTGGAACCCATCAGAATGCAATTTACCCTCAACTGTACTTTTTGAGAAAGGTCGATCATGCTTTCATTGAAAATATTAGTAGTTTAAGATTAAGATGTGAATGTACCCTTATCTTCTGCTTTTTATGTAAAGGCCCACACTCAAAATCGGTATTGTATGTGAAATAATATTAAAAAACATTGCACAGTTGGACTTTTTTGTATTTTGCAATATTCTGCTTTGTTTAAGTCATGTTTAAATACCGAAATAACAAAACAATTTAAATTCCTTTTACAAAAATCGAATACTTACTCACTTAGTCAAGTTTTAAATGACGTAAATTTATGATGTAGCTTATGACGTCATGTGTGATTTGCCGTCATTCAACGCAGTAAAGACATTTGTATTTTTGGGTAACTTTAATCCTTTTACTAGTTTGTGTGTTATGTGGCTTGAAAAGTGCTTTAGTAAGATGAATAAAGAGATCAAATGTTCTTCAGGAACTTGAAACAGATTCATAACTTTGAATATGCTATATTTCGGAAGGTATATTTTTGGTATTTACATAAATTGTTGACACTGATTGTTATAATTAATTTTGGAGGTTGATCTACGATCACACTAATATGTTTGATATTTTGATTTTGGATATTAAAAAGGAAAAGGGCCTTTAAATCTTCGCATACATGTGTAATATAGGGAAAATTAGTAAAACCAGAAAATGTAAAACGCATTTAACAAAATGTACAATGTTTATACGCTATAACATGTGTACATTTCATAAAAAAAAGTTACTGTTGGTGCTACACAATTTGAAAATTAAAGCAACGTGCAAGGCAAATAACAGCAACATTATTTAACAGAAGTTTTCATATAGCTACTTACATCATCCAACCAATATATAAAGTATTGTTTTAGAAATGTTTGTACTTCTTCAATTCGGATTATACTCAAACGTTGATCATGTTGATAGAAAATAAGAATAATTCAGAGATCTTAAAGATTTCGCCATGGTTTTTGCAATGGTTAATTGTCTAATTTGTTTTCATTTTGTGAACACTTATTGCTTATAATTCATGTTTAGGGAAGTTTATGATCATGGTTGGCTACTTCTTTGAAAAAGGGAGAGGTTTATATACTGTTATATGGTAGCAATCTTGATTTAATTAGAACTTTAAAGCACAAACACAATCTGTTTTATAGTCTTTATACGAGGTTTGAAGATATAGAAAATGCCAACCCATATGTCTAGCTCTAAATTAGTTCTTAGTACGTTAGTCAATTTATTTAGCGGCGAATACTACCCGTGTGCTATGAACACAAGGTTCTCAAAGAATAAAACACACATATATTGACTTGAATTGGCCTACTCTGAAATTAGTAGATTGGCCTACAGAAAGACTCATATATGGAAGATACCACAAACACAGTTTAAACTGCCACATATTTTGACTTACATCTAGGAAGTAACAATGAGGGTCGTCTGAGAGTAAAACCGAACGACAAAAGAGATGATTTCAGCTTTCAAATATTGAATTTTCTTTTTCTATACAGCAACATTCCAGCACTGCCGGTAGAAGGACTATATGTCTCAGAATTTGTAATTACGATGAGCAACACATCGGGTGCTATATATGGAGCAAGATTTGCTTACCCATCCTGAGAACCAGTGTTTAGTTTTCTATGTTGTGTACCGTAAACTGTTGTTTGTCATATAGTCGTTTTCCGTTTTTTTTTGCCATGGCTTTGTCGGTTTCGACCGACTTTTTAGGTTTGATTACCCTAATAGGCTTTTTTAAACATACACAGGGAATTGAAATCATTGTATTGTTTTTCTTACGTGTACGTTTTTCTTGACAAATCAGGATCACATCATTTCATTGTGCCATACTCATCCTTTCGAAAGAGCAATGCCTTATCGTTAAATGCGATTCAGAGGAATGACCGTAGTGCATTGCGTGCTATATTCATATTTCAAGTTGGATTACCTCAAATTATCATGATTTATACATGTTCGACACATATGATAAATATATCTTTTTTCACATTCCAAAATTGTAACAGTAGCTAAATAATAGTCTAGGCTGGATTCCCAGATGGAAACTTATTTGAACTGCCAAGAACCTAGTAACTATTTCCTTTTTTGTACATATCCTAGTCATTATTTTATGTATTGACAACAATGAATTTCATTCACAAATCACAACGAATGATTGAACAATTAAATGGCATTTTAAAGAGCTTTTTCATATGGCACTATCAATAAATACAAAACAAACAATAGATTTTGATAAATCCAAGAATCATTAATATTTATTAAACCATCATAAATCAACAGAAAGACAAACAAAAACTCAAATTATGAAACGAAATTCTAGCCACTACACCCTACAGTCATAGATTTATACGCATATAACAGATAGTTATTTCCAATAACATCAGACAACTTATTATTAACTGTTTGCACCTTCTATTTAGTTTCATGCACAACTTATTTCCTAAATGGAGAGCTTCAATTCTGTTCTACGGTGACACCTCTTTTTCATTAGGACATATTAATTTCATTTCATATCAAGACAAAAGCATTTTTAAAAATCATCATATATTCATTAAAAGTTGACGGCTAATTGTTTTCTTTTGCAGTTAAAATTAAAGTAGAAATATCATGCGCATTTGATCAAAAGAGTAATGAATAATTAAAGAGATATTTCTGCGGCAATGCTCTAGGTCGTGAATGAACTGAGCTCGGTTCTTACCGGACGTTAAGATAATGTGCAATTATACATCCATGTTATTTTACAATGAAAAACGTAAATTTGCATCAACTATTACTACTCTATATCTAAAAACATTTGCAATTTATTTTTGTAAATGACATCTGAATGGACATTACATATAGAGAGATATATTACACATTTTGTTCACATATTCGACATTTTTATTTTTCAAAGGTTGTGTTTCACTGTCCAAACCAGCTTGCAAAACCATTTAAAAGAGTTGGAATACCTGTGGCCTGCACAGCTGTTGTGACCATACCCTGTCCAAAGGCATAAATTCCATTACCAATTTTAGATAAAACATCGCCATCGTCTTCCACTTCTTTACGAACAGTTTTGCGGAGATCGACCGCATTCATTCTTTCATTTTCTTTCTTCAATTCTTCCATTCGCTTTTGCAGCTCTTCCTCAGCTTTCTTGTACATTTCATCTGTGTAAAACGGTTGACCATTTTTTTCGATCATTTTTTCAATAATTTCCATTAATGTGTTTAATTGTTTCTTTCTTCTATCTTTTGAGGTGAGTTTATTATCAAAAACTACAAACCTGTTTTCGCATTTCTTGACGAGATTTTGTAGAGATTCTGGTGAATTTGCAACTCTTTCTTCAATAGATTCATCTTTAGACATACTGTTTCCATGGCTGAAAATAATTACCATGTAGTCCATGAGTTTTTCGCCAAACACATTGATGAAATGCAATGCAGTTGCCTCTTCTTCTTTTGTAAACCGACCTAGGAGCGGCACGACAAAAATTATAGCATGTGGCCCAGGGGAGGTGATTCCAATGCACTTCACAATTTCTTTGGTTACGTCTTGGTTTTTCATTCCAGTGTCAAATAATCCTGGAGTATCGACAACAATAAGATTATACTTCTTGTTTCCTGTATCGCAAATGTTTTCACCGCGTCTACAGTTTTTCGTACATGATGAACTACTTGATGCTGACACAAAAGCCTCTTTCTGAAGGATGCTATTACCTGTTGCACTTTTACCACTTCCTGTTTTCCCGATCATCACTATACGTACTTCAGTTTCTATTCCTATAAGTGATTCAAAGGTTATGATACAAATTTGGTTATTATTTAAGCTACAATGTCGACCATTCTCTGTTATACATTTTTATGGAAATACTATTTCACCTTCAATTGAATGAAGTTTAATTAAGAAAATTTGCATAATTTGGTAATTTGAAAAAATATTGAAAAATAATGCATGTTTTGGTGTAAAAATACTATGGATTCATTTTATTTGTAGAATACCAATTTTTGTGGATTTCGTGGATATAGGTGAACAACGAGTTAAAATGTTTTTGTAATACAAATATTCTATAGGTGTTTGTGCAGACTTTTGCAAAACCACAAACTGAAATATCCACGATAATACAATAATTCCTCATTGCACGACAATTGGTACCTACAAAAATAAATGAATCCTCAGTACACAGTTTTGATATTTCTCATAACGAAAAATATGCGTGAATTCTCAGTAAACTTTACCCTTAATTCTCTTCATTATAAAACCATTTTTTTAAAACTTAGACAACTGACAAAAAGCCAATAGAGATAAGTGATGTGTAAAGTCTGCCGATTCTTAGGCAAATCAAATATATTTCACAGGACTCTGTTGAGATATATGTGGAAGTCCGACATTACACCTGAAAAAACTATGGAAAATATCTTTTCTTTCAACTTGTTCCTGTACAGTAAACTTATTGAAAATTATGACAGGATCAAATACGTTATCAACAGTAATGTACTATGTCGCCTGTGTAAAAACGTATACTCGTGATGTCATGAGATGGAATAAACTGATTTCAAATCTGATGATTTTGTGCATTTTTCGGACCTGAAAGCTTTGGAAAACCCTTTAGACGCATTCTAGGATTTAAAATGTTCTGTAAACAAAAGTTGCCAATGATGATATTGAATCCCTAGACACAAACACTTTCTGGATCATGGGTGGCGACCAATGTAAGGTATGCCTATTACTTATTAGAATTATTTTTAAAAAAATACAAATAATGCATACTTAAAGAGTCCAAACTTCAACATGTTTAATGTCATGAACCAAAAGGAAGTTATTTTGTATTAATAGTAATATCACAACAATTTCTAGGGGAAATTTGTAATATTTTGGCCTGATTAAAAAACATCAAATCCTTAGAGCCAACTTTAACCCTTCGTGAACGTGTTCCCTTATATTGTAATGCCGGCTTTTCCCCCTTTTTATAGTAAACCTATGTCTGTATAGTTTCTTGAAATTATTGAGGATAAACGATAGATGTTAGTGAGATGTCTAATGTTGCAAGTAATGTCAGACTTGTAATTTGTTATTTTGGCTGTTGTTTCAATGATACGACAGATTTGTGTATGTTAGTTTGTTAAGAAGTTTTATTTCACGTACTGATTCCATATTTTCGCGGTAGTTACCTTATTAAAATATAAACTCAAATAAAACTCTTCTAATGATCTACTTATGTATTTAAAGTCAAAACCCATCTTTATTGATGAAGATAAATCCATGTTTACAAACAATATCAACATTAAGGGAATTTCCCTTGTGTGATCCATGGTTGCCGATTGGTAAACAGTATGTAACAAGCTCTGCCATTGGTCAGTAGAAAGTATAAAAGCAACCACAACAACAGAACCGAGGGAGTGTTGGGTTGACAAAGAATGGGAAGTGACAAACTTTGATAGAAGCTGGAATATGTCTGAGAAATACAGACAAGCGTTGAAAGTTAACTTTGTTTTAATTTAAGGTTGTCGGTGCCGGTGACGGTGCTAAATACGGTTGCCGGTACCGGTGACGGTGACGGTGACTGTGCCGGTGACGGTGACGGTGCTAAATACGGTTGCCGGTACCGGTGACGGTGACGGTGACTGTGCCGGTGACGGTGCAATTGAAGTGATATTGAAGGTGCACATTAAGTGTTCTGTTGGCGGTTCCGACATGATTAATATGTCATTGAATTTGTTATACAAAGTTGTTGTCTTCTATAATGTAGAATGGTGGTAATACCCTTAAATTGAGATTATAGAAAAATTCTAAATAAGTGACAACATTGTTACTTGACTGTTGAATTATATACTAGTTTTGTTTGTCTATGTAAGATCAACCATTACCGGGACCTGACCAGACCAGTGACAGAGCCTGCAAGACCCATTCTCTCCGTCGTGGATTATTTTTGATATTAATAAAATATGAAACTTTATTTTATTCAGATATTTTATTTCACAACTGAGAATATGTATATAAACACAAGTATACGATTTCCTTTTCTGTAACGTGTTTTGGTCCGACGGTAAACAGTGGACGTCGAACCTTACACTTTATAGATCATTTTACTCTCTTTTCTTTGTGACCCTGTGTTCTCTGGTGGTCGACTCTAGCACCAGGGAGGCAGCGTTTCAATATGTTCGACGAGGTACAAAATATTTTTTAGGCTTTATGTAGACTTTGGCAAAACAACGAAATCAAATATCCACGAAAATACAATTTTCCATCAATTTACGCATATTGGTATTCACAAAAAAAAAATTGAATCCACAATATATTGATTTATGATTGGTGTAATCTGTGAATAATCATAATATCCTAGCTGATTACGAACTGGTAAAATAATGGATAACGACAATTTACAAGCATTTAAATCAACAATTACTAAAATTTGTCACTGCAGTTATTTCTCATGAAAATGCACTACATCAATAATAAAATATATTAAAAAAACTAAGAATAGCAATGCCGAAAGTAGGACCTTTTATATTTGTTTTCAATGAAAAACGCAACGATTCCTAGAACAAATACACCAAGGATAATATCATGGAAATATTAGACTACTTGATCGACGATATTTCAATATTCAAAAGACAGTCGGTTGTCCGACGGGTGGGTACTAATTGTGCATCTCTACATTTCGACTTGATTTTGTACTGATATAAAGCAGAATAAATACAAAACCTTCCCGATTGCTTGTCCGGATTTCGTTATACTTTAGGTCCTTTTTGGTTTGATCCGCCCTTCAACATTTGTATTAAATTTCGGATTTTTCAATATTTTGGCCTCGAGCATCATTGAAGAGACATTAATTGTCGAAATTGGCATCTAGTGCATTAAAATTGGTACCGTTTATGTTATTTTCAAAGGCTAACAATTCGCTTTCAAATATAATTTTAATGTCCTGTCACTCAACCCACATTTCAATGAATTCTTGTATCTTTTATATCCCAGTAAACTGGAGAATAATGATACTACCATTTAGAAGGTTTGCTTCATATCTTGATTTTTTCTCTCGATATTGACGCACGTATGGATAACTTTAAAACTAGAATCTATGACAAACGTGATGCTATCAACTTTTCGATCGCTAACTTCACATTTTTCAGTATACACTTTGTCCTATTGTATGGCGTTGACTTATCTCAATTGATACGTTACGCTTGTGCATGTCCACTTACACAAAAACTGCTCCAACACTGTTGTGAGGAAGAACGTATGAAATCGACATTACAGAAGTTTTATAGTGACTAATACGATATGAATGTGACTAGTGTACATGTTGTGGCGTAGGTGCATGCATAGAAGGTGACGCCAATCACATCGACGCATCCGGTTTGGCTCCTTTTGGTGTTCATTTTGTTTGTTATTTTGATATTTGGTCTTAAACGATTTATTATATTCGGTCATCTCCTGAATTCGTTCCATAACAAGCATCGCGTTCATTCTGCAGCAACCTGTCGAACAGTTCATCGAATCTAACATAAAAAATTGCTAACAATAGAGTAAAAAACATAGTTTTTGACTGATTTTCTCGGCAATCGATATTTAGGTAGAGCAAACATTTGGAAAAACAAAAATTTAGACAGTCGTTTACTTTCTATTGCAAATAATCAAATATTTATCATGATAAGATGAAGACATAATCTTTCAATCAGTTTAATTGAGGTCTGGAGCTGGCATGTCAGTAACTGCTAGTAGTCCTTTGTTAATTTATGTATCATTATCATTTTGCTTATTTCCTTTTTTTACCTATTCTGACATTGGACTCGGACTTCTTTTAAACTGAGTTTTACTGTGAGTATTGCTGTGTGCTTGTTTATTCTGCATTGGCTAGAGGTATAGGGGGAGGGTTGAGATCTCACAAAACATGTTTAAACATTTTTGCGCCTGTCCCAAGTCAGGAGCCTCTGGCCTTTGTTAGTCTTGTATCTATTTTAATTTTAGTTCATTTATATGTTTTGGAGTTTAGTATGACGTCCATTTTCACTGAACTGGTACACATTTTTGCGTAGGGGTCAGCTGAAGCCAGACTCCGGGTGCGGGATTTTCTCGCTCTGTTGAAGACCCATCGGTGGCCTTCGGCTGTTTTCTGCTCTTCGGTCGGGTTGTTGTTTCTTTGACACATTCCCCATTTCCATTCTCAATTTTATCATACCTACAAAACTGTTTGAGGCGGTATTTCCCATTTCTATAATTTGTTATAGCACAAGTCTGAAATTTTCTGTAATAAATAAAATATGTCAAATTAAAATACAGTCTAAAATCTTTATATGACAAATGATTGGGAGGAAAAATATTCTTATGATCAAAATAGGTAACATAAATGAAGTTAAGAGCATACGATACAGTACCAGGAGAGGTAATGACGTTGCTAACGTAAAATATTATTTTTCACAACCTCAAAATGTGAAACATCGGAAAAAGATGCATATTACGTCTGATTTTAACCATTAGCTTGAAAACGAGTACATGGACCCCTCTTTTTAAAAATGACATTTGACTTGATTATGTATGACGATTCTTGTACCATTTTTTGTGAACAAATAACCGATGATTTTTTTTAGATTAGATAAATAAACAACAAAAAATGCCGATTTTTTTTCTAAAATCATGAAATTTTAATAAAAAAGAACGATTTCCAAAGAATTGTTGCACAAATTTATAGCATACGTATGTAAAGAAGATATTCAATATTTTTAACAAGAATCCGCTTGTGTTTATCTTTTGAATAAAAAAAATATGTTTGTCTGTCAAAAGGATAGAAATGTTTAAGAAACCTAAATTTTGAGTAAATGTCTAAAATGTTGACCCAATTTATTTCTAAACGTAGCACATGAAGATGTACTTTTTATTACATATTTGAATAGACTGGGTGAAAAATATAGCTTGTATGTAATTTTTCGTCAAAAATTAACCGTGGGATCAAAACTGTTTCGTATGCCTT